AAGTAAATAGAAAAAATAGAATTTCTGACTGACAATTTTCTGGTAAAATAAACCCAATTTGAGAAAACTATCGATAAATAAAGTATTTACACAGAGGCGAAGCTGTGCTTTGTGAGAATATGACCAAAAAGCAGCTCTTTCAAGTGACATAAAAAAAGTAGAAATAAGCCTCGATTTTGCAAAAACTCGGCTTTATGTCGGGTTCGAATCTGCGACCTAGCAAATTTGAGTCTCACGCAGTAAGCACTCAGCCACAGATGCTTAAGATCCATAAGCTAGCAACCAATAGCGCAGCTACATATGCTAATAAATTGCCAATTCGATGCAGCAAAATTAGCACAAAGCACAAGACACAATTCGCATATACTAAATCGCAAAGCATAAAGCCACATTATTTATAACTTATGCATTTCAAAAAAGTTGCAAGATAAATTCTGAAAATTTCTGAAATCGAGTTTTTATTAATGTAATGTTGCTGAAACAATTAGCTTTTTTCGGTTCATTTGATGAATTAAAAATGCATCAACTGTGTAAACTTATTACTATTCGAATGTCAATGCGCATACTATCAAAACGCTGTAAAGCTGCCCAAAACTGGCACCAATATTTGCGACTTAGGTTAGAAAAAAGGTTCTAAATAATCCACTAAGCTGGCGCAGAATAAAAATTTTGTTGGTTCAAAAGTTATTTTGTCAAAACTTAAAAAACCAATAAAAAAATTAAACTATCAAATTTAAAAACCAACTGAAATATGTTTTATTAAGTCAATGAACGTAGTTCAGACTCTTAAATAAGTCTTTTTCTTTCGATGTTTTTTTTTTTCGTTTTTTTTCACCATGTCTAACAGGTTGTTGAGTCTCAATTTACTTTTTCGCCGTTTGACTGATGATTTCTTTTTCAGTTCAGTTCATTTCATTTGTTGAAAGGAATACAGACTACACTATCGAACAGTGAAAGTGTAAGGGTCACAAAAAACGTGATTGACTGCTAGTTTCGAAAATAGATTCTAATTTTCAGATTTCCCAGCAAAATAAAAAGTTTCCCTATTGATCCAGTTATCTCAAATTGAGTTAATTTTTATCAAAAGATCAATCATCATTTTTCCAGAAATTCAGAGATTTGTAAGGGCGTCTTTTTTCTTTGAAAGTCGAAAGTTGAGATTTTGAAAAAATAAATCCGTATTTTTTTTTCAGTTTACTTGCGTTCATAAACTCTTTTCCAACTATCTGTTGGCCATGTTGTTTTGAATAGACTTTTTCGAATATCCAGTTCTTATTCAAATAAATGGAGATCATTAAATAAACGAAATGCATGAGGACATGTTTATTACTATTAACTAAACTAAAGCGTAAAGGACATGTTTATTACACATTAAAGGGATGTTGGAAATGTGTACATGTGGATGGAACTGTATGACACTGAGTTGGGACCCCCCAAGATGCCGATGATTGACATCCGACCAAGTGAGCCGGAGCCGATGGTGCTGCGGGTGGTTGTGTTGTCCACTCAAGAGACTGTACTCGAAACCAAGTCGTTCAGTGGCGACACGATTGCCGATGTTTACGTACAGGGATGGATGGAAGGTTAGACACTGGAAATCATTAAATGTTGTTTGTATTTCAAATACAAAATTTTTTGCACTGCTAAAACAACGCATTACTATATTCCTTTTTTGAATAAAATTTTTGCAAAGTCTTGCAAGCTATCTACCTACCCACTCAATTACTGATTTTTTACTCAAATACAATCAATATTTTCTCAATTTATTTGATTTCAACAACTCTAAACTATTATAAATACAATTTAGTAGGAAATATTTGCAGTTATCCAGAAATATCATTGCGCAGTTGATTAATTTTGATTTCTTTTGTGAGGAATAAGTTGACTCTGCTAGTTATTTTCGTCTTTGAGCGTCCGGATGAATGCATTGTATGATACGTCAAGATCAAAGGTCAATTGTCGTGTCTGGTCGTCAGAAAGTTCATCTGACACTGACATTTCTCCAAGTGTTTTCAGCCTAAGCAAGCGAGTTAACAACATTTGTTATCCCGAAATATTGATCCATAATGATCCAATCAATTTTTTGAATTCTCCAATTTCATTGAAAAAATGTATGTAAAACAAGGAAATCAAAATTTCCTACAATTGTTCCCCTTTTAAGAAAAAAATCTGAACTATGTTCAGTAAATTAAGGCGCAAAACCTTCTAAATCTTAAAATCGTACGAGTTTAAATAAACTACTGCCCAAAAACACAGAAAAAATGTCCTTTAAAACCAATTTAGGGTTGTTTAATTTTGATATTTATCATATTTTCAATGAAAAATGGTTACACACCCAATGAGTACTCAGTGCGCCTCTTTTATCCAATTACAAAATTTGATTTTTTTGGTGATTGATTAAGAGTAATGAACGTAGTGAAGACTCTTATAAAGGTCTGGCTACATATTTTTTCAGGAAAAGTCTTAAAAGTCTCTATTAAGTACAGATGAGCAATCATACATACTGATGCATTTATGAATGCACTTAGGTATATATACACTTTTTGAATTCAATTGAAATTCATCAGCTGAACGTGAAGTAAATAGCACTCAAAAAATACGAACGTGGAAATGACGCAAAAAATGTGAAAGATTTTTAGTTTCGAAATGAGAACTTAATGTTTAGATTCCCAGCGGAATAAAAATTTTACCTATTGATCCAGTTTTCTCTAGTTGGGTTCATGTCATCAAAAAGATTTAATCATAAATTGTTTTAGAAATTCGAAGAGTTTAAAGGGCATCTATTTTTTTTCTTTGAAATTCGAAAGTTGAGATTTTTCAAGAAAGTCAGTGTTTTTTTATTTTTACTTGCGTTCATTACTCTTTTCCAATCTTTGATTGGCTATGTTTATTAATTTTGTGCCAATTTTGTGCCGAACAATCGCCAATGTAATCACAACCTACGTCTATTAATTTTAAATAAGCAGCAAAAAGAGCGGTCGTGACTGAGTGAATACGCCTCGCGGCCTATAATACGAAGGTATTGGGTTCGATTCCCACTTCGCTCACTGTTGGAGAGGTCTTAGCGTCATCAGCCTCTACAAGGTGAGACCAAATGCGACAAAACGGATGCCATAGATCTCACTCACGGCAGCAAGGCCCAAGATAGTAAGGAGGAAGTAGAGCCGGGACAGATAATTTAAAAAAATCTTCGAAAACTATATTTTTTTGCCGTAAAAACATAGCCAACCGACAGCTGGAAAAGAGTCAATGAACTCAAGTAAATAGAAAAAATAGAATTTCTGACTGACAATTTTCTGGTAAAATAAACCCAATTTGAGAAAACTATCGATAAATAAAGTATTTACACAGAGGCGAAGCTGTGCTTTGTGAGAATATGACCAAAAAGCAGCTCTTTCAAGTGACATAAAAAAAGTAGAAATAAGCCTCGATTTTGCAAAAACTCGGCTTTATGTCGGGTTCGAATCTGCGACCTAGCAAATTTGAGTCTCACGCAGTAAGCACTCAGCCACAGATGCTTAAGATCCATAAGCTAGCAACCAATAGCGCAGCTACATATGCTAATAAATTGCCAATTCGATGCAGCAAAATTAGCACAAAGCACAAGACACAATTCGCATATACTAAATCGCAAAGCATAAAGCCACATTATTTATAACTTATGCGTTTCAAAAAAGTTGCAAGATAAATTCTGAAAATTTCTGAAATCGAGTTTTTATTAATGTAATGTTGCTGAAACAATTAGCTTTTTTCGGTTCATTTGATGAATTAAAAATGCATCAACTGTGTAAACTTATTACTATTCGAATGTCAATGCGCATACTATCAAAACGCTGTAAAGCTGCCCAAAACTGGCACCAATATTTGCGACTTAGGTTAGAAAAAAGGTTCTAAATAATCCACTAAGCTGGCGCAGAATAAAAATTTTGTTGGTTCAAAAGTTATTTTGTCAAAACTTAAAAAACCAATAAAAAAATTAAACTATCAAATTTAAAAACCAACTGAAATATGTTTTATTAAGTCAATGAACGTAGTTCAGACTCTTAAATAAGTCTTTTTCTTTCGATGTTTTTTTTTTTCGTTTTTTTTCACCATGTCTAACAGGTTGTTGAGTCTCAATTTACTTTTTCGCCGTTTGACTGATGATTTCTTTTTCAGTTCAGTTCATTTCATTTGTTGAAAGGAATACACACTACACTATCGAACAGTGAAAGTGTAAGGGTCACAAAAAACGTGATCGACTGCTAGTTTCGAAAATAGATTCTAATTTTCAGATTTCCCAGCAAAATAAAAAGTTTCCCTATTGATCCAGTTATCTCAAATTGAGTTAATTTTTATCAAAAGATCAATCATCAATTTTTCCAGAAATTCAGAGATTTGTAAGGGCGTCTTTTTTCTTTGAAAGTCGAAAGTTGAGATTTTGAAAAAATAAATCCGTATTTTTTTTTCAGTTTACTTGCGTTCATAAACTCTTTTCCAACTATCTGTTGGCCATGTTGTTTTGAATAGACTTTTTCGAATATCCAGTTCTTATTCAAATAAATGGAGATCATTAAATAAACGAAATGCATGAGGACATGTTTATTACTATTAACTAAACTAAAGTGTAAAGGACATGTTTATTACACATTAAAGGGATGTTGGAAATGTGTACATGTGGATGGAACTGTATGACACTGAGTTGGGACCCCCCAAGATGCCGATGATTGACATCCGACCAAGTGAGCCGGAGCCGATGGTGCTGCGGGTGGTTGTGTTGTCCACTCAAGAGACTGTACTCGAAACCAAGTCGTTCAGTGGCGACACGATTGCCGATGTTTACGTACAGGGATGGATGGAAGGTTAGACACTGGAAATCATTAAATGTTGTTTGTATTTCAAATACAAAATTTTTTGCACTGCTAAAACAACGCATTACTATATTCCTTTTTTGAATAAAATTTTTGCAAAGTCTTGCAAGCTATCTACCTACCCACTCAATTACTGATTTTTTACTCAAATACAATCAATATTTTCTCAATTTATTTGATTTCAACAACTCTAAACTATTATAAATACAATTTAGTAGGAAATATTTGCAGTTATCCAGAAATATCATTGCGCAGTTGATTAATTTTGATTTCTTTTGTGAGGAATAAGTTGACTCTGCTAGTTATTTTCGTCTTTGAGCGTCCGGATGAATGCATTGTATGATACGTCAAGATCAAAGGTCAATTGTCGTGTCTGGTCGTCAGAAAGTTCATCTGACACTGACATTTCTCCAAGTGTTTTCAGCCTAAGCAAGCGAGTTAACAACATTTGTTATCCCGAAATATTGATCCATAATGATCCAATCAATTTTTTGAATTCTCCAATTTCATTGAAAAAATGTATGTAAAACAAGGAAATCAAAATTTCCTACAATTGTTCCCCTTTTAAGAAAAAAATCTGAACTATGTTCAGTAAATTAAGGCGCAAAACCTTCTAAATCTTAAAATCGTACGAGTTTAAATAAACTACTGCCCAAAAACACAGAAAAAATGTCCTTTAAAACCAATTTAGGGTTGTTTAATTTTGATATTTATCATATTTTCAATGAAAAATGGTTACACACCCAATGAGTACTCAGTGCGCCTCTTTTATCCAATTACAAAATTTGATTTTTTTGGTGATTGATTAAGAGTAATGAACGTAGTGAAGACTCTTATAAAGGTCTGGCTACATATTTTTTCAGGAAAAGTCTTAAAAGTCTCTATTAAGTACAGATGAGCAATCATACATACTGATGCATTTATGAATGCACTTAGGTATATATACACTTTTTGAATTCAATTGAAATTCATCAGCTGAACGTGAAGTAAATAGCACTCAAAAAATACGAACGTGGAAATGACGCAAAAAATGTGAAAGATTTTTAGTTTCGAAATGAGAACTTAATGTTTAGATTCCCAGCGGAATAAAAATTTTACCTATTGATCCAGTTTTCTCTAGTTGGGTTCATGTCATCAAAAAGATTTAATCATAAATTGTTTTAGAAATTCGAAGAGTTTAAAGGGCATCTATTTTTTTCTTTGAAATTCGAAAGTTGAGATTTTTCAAGAAAGTCAGTGTTTTTTTATTTTTACTTGCGTTCATTACTCTTTTCCAATCTTTGATTGGCTATGTTTATTAATTTTGTGCCAATTTTGTGCCGAACAATCGCCAATGTAATCACAACCTACGTCTATTAAGTTTAAATAAGCAGCAAAAAGAGCGGTCGTGACTGAGTGAATACGCCTCGCGGCCTATAATACGAAGGTATTGGGTTCGATTCCCACTTCGCTCACTGTTGGAGAGGTCTTAGCGTCATCAGCCTCTACAAGGTGAGACCAAATGCGACAAAACGGATGCCATCGATCTCACTCACGGCAGCAAGGCCCAAGATAGTAAGGAGGAAGTAGAGCCGGGACAGATAATTTAAAAAAAAGCTTCGAAAACTATATTTTTTGCCGTAAAAACATAGCCAACAGAAAACTGGAAAAGAGTCAATGAACTCAATAAACAGAAAAAATAGAATTTCTGACTGACAATTTTCTGGTAAAATAAACCCAATTTAAGAAAGTTATCAATATATAAACACAGAGGCGAAGCTGTGCTTTGAGAGAACATGATCAAAAAGCAGCTCTTTCAAGTGACATAAAAAAAGTAGAAATAAGCCTCGAATTAGCAAAAATTCGGCTTTATGTCGGGTTCGAATCTGCGACCTAGCAAATTTGAGTCTCACGCATTAAGCACTCAACCACAGATGCTTAAGATCCATTAGCTAGCAACCAATAACGCAGCTACATTTGCTTATAAATTGCCAATTCGATGCAGCAAAATTAGCACAAAGCACAAGACACAATTCGCATATACTAAATCGCAAAGCATAGAGCCACATTATTTATAACTTATGCATTTCAAAAAAATTGCGAGCTAAATTCTGAAAATTTCTGAAATCGAGTTTTTATTATTGTAATGTTGCTGGAACAAATAGCTTTTTTCGGTTCATTTGATGAATTAAAAATGCATCAACTGTGTAAACTTATTAGGATTCAAATGTCAAAGCGCATGCTATCAATAAGCTGTAAAGGTACCCTAAAAGTGGCACCAAAATTTGAGACTTAGGTAGCAAAAAAAGAGGAAGTTTGTACTAATACACTTTGCTTCGCAAGCATAATTAAGCTCGGAAATGAAAATTAAATTCCACTTTTGAAAAAGCGGATCATCGGCTGTTCTATAGTGGAATTTGCCTTCCTTTTAACAAAGGAAATGAGCTGAACTGGAAAAGAAATCAAAATTCAAACCGCGAAAAAGTAACGTTGAGCCTGAAGAAATTTTTATAGTGGAATTTGCCTTCCTTTTAACAAAGGAAATGAACTGAACTGAAAAATAAATCAAAACTCAAACCGCGAAAAAGTAACTTTGAGCGTGAAAAAATTTTAAGACTTTTCCTGGAAAAAACGAAAAAATTATCGCGACCTCTTTAAGAGTATGAACTACGTTCATCGACTTTTTAATTACATTTCGAATTAATTTTTTTAAATTACATTTCGAATTAACTGAGAAAAAAACGGTATAGAAAATAACTTTCTAACCGACCATATCAAGCATGTTGTTGGGAACATATTGTCGATTAAACAAAGTCGCATTGCAGCAATTTCATTTGCTGATAGTAAGATTTCATTTGCTGATAGTAAGATAGTAAGGTATCTTCAAGCTATTCAGCCAATTTTTTCCGCAAATGGGATCTTTTAACTAGTCCCCCTCCCCTCCACCGCAAAAAAGGTGGTGAGAGATTCGTTACTAGGTACAAAACCCACGAATGCTTAACCGCTGAATTAGTTCTTATATGGGTGGCAATTCGAATTCGATACTATGTAACAAATGGGAGGGGGATAACTCAAAAGATCCATTTTCTGATAGATTTTGTGTACAAAGGAGAATTCTTTCGATGCAATTCAATCATTGCTACTAACCACTCGTTCATTTTCGTTTTGGCTTCGAAGTTTGCGGGCAGAGAGGTCATTGAGCTTAATGCGTCACATATCTCCCTGACCAACGGATAAATCTGAAAACAAAAGGAAACCAACAGTCACGCACATTTGATTCTCTGAGTTACTCTTATTTAACGTCAGGCCAAAGGACAATACTTACGTCATCTTTAGCTCTCCTCTCCAATTTCAGACAGTCAGATGTCGTGATGAACAACTAAACAGATAATTCAATGATAAAACCCCCAGCACTAAACTTAAGGCTATATAATATTGGAAGATGCACAACTTAGGAGCTGCTCGGCTCTTAACAGAACCGCTGTTGTAGCCTTTACTACGAACTGAACAATTTTTGGACTATTTTTTGGATGGGACGTTGCATACAATGAACGCAGATCATGATGGACTTTAAACCAAGGACTTCAATCCAAGGTCTTCGTTTATAGTGAGGAAGATAAAGCTTAAACCCCTTCAAACTCGCCATTAGCAAAGCATTGACGTTTCCCATCAGACAAGGATAGGAAACGATTCTACCGCCCCCTTCATGAAAGGGGAGGAAATTCTTAAACGGCAGCAAATTTATAAGATATGCTGAGAAGTCTAGGAGACCTTTTTCTTCATAAGAAAGGGTCGTTGTTTTTGGCAAAAAAAATTAAAGCTTACTGATACGATGTCTGCAATACACTTGTTTGAGTTGCCTGTCTTCTCTGAGCGAACTTTAACCGGCTGGTCGTCTTTGATCCGCTCCAGTGCAGCCACGCAATCAAGCTGTGAACACATAAAAAGTAAGGATACTCGCTTGAGCTACAACTAACACAATTTCAAATATATGTTTCGGAGACTTTCGGCCATTTTCGCCAGCGAAAGAATTGGAATCCAGCTTCAAGAATAAGCTAACTATATCTTAAATCATTTAGCTGCAATGGAATCATCTAAAGTAAGCTGGCTTGAGAGGCATAATTATTCAGACAAGGGTTTCTTGACATTGAGAGAGCAGAAGATTTCTAGAAACTAAACGGCTACAGAAAAAGGCTTTTATCTCAAAACAGTCTTGATAATTAGCGAGATTATTTCGAGGCACATAAAATTGCACGAAAAAACCACGTTGGCCTATGGATTCTTTCGACACATTGAGTTGTCGGAGCAAAGAGCAGATTTTTGGCATATTATATTACACGCACTCTGTATTTCTTCACAAAAGAGTCCACGTCTGGAAATTCTGAGCTCTGCACAAGTCTGAAAGCTGTTTTGTATTGGGCCAGCAGTTTGTTACAAGCAGCTTCATACCTTCGGTTCAAAATGAAAAAAAAAATAAACACTGAAGGATTATGAAATGAAAACATTAGAAAATTTTGACATACTCGTTCGTCTTTACACAATCTCGGATGTATGCTCTTTCAAGGCATTGAAGTGTGTTGATTACAGCATACAAATCAGCCAAATTGTCGTAACTGAAACACAATAATTCGATCAAACGAAATATTATACATTTTTATTCAAATGAGGAAAACAGCCCTAAGACAAAAAAAATTAAGCAGCATTCTTATACATCGTAAAATCTTACACTGTGGTGAAGTTTCTCATCGCAAATGCAAAAAAATGACAAAAAAGCTATAAAAAATTGCAAGAAAAATAAGTTTTGGAAAAAAAAGAATTAGCCGACAATGAGATTAAAACCGGTGCCCTCCGAAATATTTGACTAATTATATTACAGTCCCAACTGCCTAATAGAGTTTATACACCATGTAATATTTATTACCATACCCTTTAAAAAACTTATGCTAGGAGCCGATTAGAAACAAGAACTCGTATTTTAGAAAGCATTCGCTTGTGTAATCACCAAAATTAGTAGTTTCAAAAAATAGGCCTTGATAGAAAATCAGTACAAACTGGGCTCGTTCTTTTGGACTGTCATGTAGTTTCACCTCTTCCATCAATTCAGGCCTTGATTGATTCATTTTTATCTATCTAAAAACAACATTATAATCTTAGTAAGGATAGCACGTTGCTGTGCAAGTAGCACGGAATGTTCTAACCACACTGATTTTGAAACTTCAGTTATATATTTTTTAGAACAGTAAGTTGAACAAATGCAAGAATGAGTGCTACTAATAGCTATAATAACTTTATTTTAAAATAGTAGTTAATTAGTAGGTAGAATTGAAGGTTGGCAGCTACAAAAAATGACTAATTTAATCTGGAAACAGAAAATTTTTAGACCAATTTTTCTTGACATAGACAATTTAAACACAGGCGAAGCAGAGCATCACATCACTTGCGATACTACGGGAACAGAACAATGCAAGCTAGCAAATAATAGTCGAAAAAAATCTTTAAAAATTTAACATTTTTTCAAAAAAGGATAATACAATTTCAGAAAAACAGTTGAGAAACAACCAGCAGCATTAAATAAGCTTTTATTAAATACTGAGCGACCACTAAGCTGACAATACGTGGGTAGAAGACCATTGAGCCGTAAACAAAAAATGCCTTAATTAGTTGAGGTGAAAAGCTTTGAACATTAAGTTTTATACAGTGACTAAGTCGATAAAACATACGCCGATACTATTCAGGCCGAAATAGCTTTAGACCAAAACGAATCAAAGAAAAACAAAAATAGTCAGGTATACTAAAATTACAAATCACAGGATAACTCATCAATACTTGCAACTATAAGGAAAACTGCTTACTGTACAAGAAAAATTAATGATGTGGCAACTAAATCGACAAAACATAAGCAGACAACTAAAGGCTGACAATGCAAACTTTCCAGAAAAATATATCAATTTCATACGTACTGAAAAACAGAGGTGCAGACGGAATTCGAACCCTCAGGCCTTACGGTGCAAGGAGACTATTATAGGCTAAGTTTCAATAAGAAAGCAAATTCAATTTCTTACAGGTTTGTACGAAAAGTTGCTTACGGGGGAACAGTCCCGTTCTCGATTACAAGGCACTTGCTCTAGCAAGTGTAAAAAACGGAATCCACCTTACGACTGAAAACGCTTCAATATGATACCACACTTGAAACCCCACAGGCTTTCTTTCAGGTAGTCAAATCGGAAGAAGAAAACACATCCTACCCCATAGATAGTTATTATCCTTCACTTCGTGAAAGAGTCAGCGCAAATATTCAGCTTTTATGTTCAATCTCATGACCTTAACATTGGTTATTGCCGAAAACTAATAAGATCTCAAATCAATATTTATTAACTACCGAAGAACAATATTTCAGGCATGGAAACAGGTCGTCAAAAGACAGACGTACACTACAGATGCATGGATGGTACTGCCTTATTCAACTGGCGATTTATTTTTGAGTTCAAACTAGTCCCGCAGGAAATGAAGGTTGAAGTAAAAGAAAAGCGGCGCCTGCTAGCCAGACATGCGACAAGCCAGTTTGTCCCACCTGTGATCCATTTCCAAGTGTGGGACAATGACTTCATCAGCTCAGATGATTTCATAGGCGAGCTCAGTTTGAACTTGAGCAAGATGCCCCGTCCATCGCAGTTTTCAAGAGAATGCGACTTCTCTATGGTAAGCTACTTTGTACAAAAAAATCTACAATTCAGTGAACGCAATCTAAAATTTGTACACGCTCAATTTTTATTTTTTCCAGTTTTGACTTTTGATTACCGTTTGATCCAATTTTCACCAAATGAGAAGAACTTCATAAAAAGCCAAATCATAAAGTATTCATGATGTTTCAAAAAATAATGAAGTAGTAACAAAGTTTCAAATTTTTGACTCATTGAGATTATTTTCCATCCATTCAATTTTTCTGAGCTGGTTTCTAATCATATTTATCGTGCGACAGGCTAATTTAAGCACCTTGAGTTACTGACAATCAAATCATACTAAATTTCAATATCATAATAATTGATTAAAGCAAACTTGACTTTGTTTAGTTACAAGAGTCAAAAGCTAACCCTTGGATTTCACTTTTCCAGTCCAAAAGAGTAAGGGGATTTTTTCCGATGACTCGATATACAAAACGTGGCGACTATAAAGAATTAACGTCAAAACTAGAGGTAGAAATGGAGCTTCTGACAGAAGATGAAGCGAACGAAAAACCAGCTGCTAAGGCAAGAGATTCTCCAAATGCGTATCCATTCCTCACTCCACCGGAAAGACCAAAAACTTCCTTCCATGCCCTTCTCAACCCCTGGAGATCATGGAAATATATAATTTGGAAGAGAGTGAAATGGATAATTCTAACTTTTCTCTTGATTCTGATTTTAGCTTTGTTTATCTTATTATTCCTCTATTCGTTCCCTACATCATTGCCATCTGCAATTATTGAGGGAACCCTTTGAATGCTTGTAAAATTCACCGTACGAATGATCTTTCTTTGAATTTAATTTAATTGAAGCATTCAAGTGTAAAGTGTAAAAGATGTCATCAGAATAAGTTTAAGAAACTCCCAAGGGGACAAAATAGAACATCGGACAAATTAAGTTAGTTTCGCTTGTCGGGATCAGATTTTCCTGGGTTTTCTCTTCTTTGATTAACGTCTTCTTTTTCATAAATAACTTATGAAGGAAAATTTGAAAATGCTAAGAGTTAAAGATATTGTCAAGCTCATCAAAGCGACTTAAAATTTTAAAAAAAAAACTAAATTAGAAAAAAGGCCCTTCCGTTTAGTTCGGTAAGTGCACAAGCTGGATAGGGCCATACCAGTATTATAAAAGTGCATATATATCAGCAAGCTGTATCAGTTTATCAATGAAGTCATAAATCAGTATGCAATGCATCGTCGTAATGTTAATTTATCTTAGCCGTCCTTGCTCTACAATAGCGCTAATGAAGTTGTCGATAAATTGAACTTTGCGCAGCGATCTGCACCCCCTTATACATAGTATAGAGCTCCTCAGGAGCGCGAAGCTTATTTTAGTTCTTATGTAATTTATCGACTCTGGATAGCTTTCTTGTCTTTTTTCACTTAGTTTTTCGGCTAATCGTTGCATCGTCCGCGTGGCTGTAGGAGCAGCGCCACCGGTGCATCCGAAAATTAACGGGCAGAAGCTACTCTGCTCTACGTTTGAAATTCTTTGCTGAAATTTGGAGTTCTTCAGCGTTTCGTGATATTTATATGCGTCTTTATGCAGTTTTCGCGATGTTTTGGCATGGGGTTTGAAAATTTTCACATCAAAGAAAGCGCGGCTGAATCGTGAACCCCAGAGTCCGTTTGCCGTAATGTCAATTCGTGCCTCATCTACAGCTGTAGTTGAATTGTTGACAAAGCTTTCGCCTTGCAACCGCTGAAGTTTCGGCTCCATCTCGACGTCATGGCAAACCTCGTCCATGAGGTTGGCGAATGTGTCTCTGATTTCATTGTGTTTTATGTGTGTGTAACCGCCCTTTGCACAGTGTAGCGCATGTGTCAAAAAATAAAATAAGCACCACATGCACATGTGAGTGATTTTCGTCGTTTCCCATCCGTATCTTAAGTAAAAACCATCTCTGAAATACCTAAACGCCGTAAAGGTCAACAGAGCAACCGGTCCAGACAAAATCCCCAACAGGCTCTTAAAGAATACTTCAAGTCAACTATCCAAATCAAAGACAATAGTTTTTCAAACCATCATCAACAAAGGAGTCTACCACTCGCAGTGGAAAAAATCTTTGGTTATACCGCTTTTCAACTCAAAAAATTGCGAAGTGGTTACACAATATCAACCAAGCTCCCTCTTGACAGTTAGCAAAGTCTTTGAAAGGATTTTATTCGATGCGATATATGAAAACCTTTCCAAAATATTTTCTCCCAGCCAATATGGCTTCCGGAAAAAACGGTCCACTATAGTTCAGCCTATTGATTATGTGGATAAACTGTACAGATGCAAAGATGATTCAGACTATCCCGAACTTGGAGCTTTATTTGTCGACTTCGAAAAAGCTTCTGATAATATATCTCATAAAGTCCTTCTTGAAAAATTGTGGTGCCTCGGTATACGAGGAAAAGTGTTTGTAATATTGAGAAGCTACCTTACGAACAGAAAGCAACAAGTCAGCGTAAACGAGCAACTCTCAGATTTCTTGAGCATCGGAAGCGGAGTGCCACAAGGTTCTATTTTTTCGATTTATATCAACGATCTTCCCGAATGCTTGAACATCGACGACGCTTACTTGTTTGCAGACGACTTAAAGACAATCAAAAGAACGCTTTTCGGAATGCAGAATTCTCTTTTATAGTTAGAAAACTGGTACCTTTTAATTTCACTGAAAGTCAACTTAGATAAAACTCATAACCTACCATTCAAAAGTTCCTTTCATGGATGTACACTGGCAGGAAGGGGTGTGGAACCCAGTTGTGTAGAAAAAGATCTTGGAGTTGTTGTCGACAAAAACCTCACCTGGCAGTGAAACGTATCACTGCGACTGGCGAATGCTATCAAATGCTTCTTCCTTCTGAAACGCAACCTTACCTTTTGAGCCAGCACTGAAAAGAAGCTGAATGTATACTGCGGTATGGTAGTTCCTATTCTCTCTTATGCTTCGCAAGTTTGGTATGCTTCGAAATCAGGCTTGAATCGAATAGAAATGTTACAAAAAAGAGCCTCCCGGTGGATTTTACCGACAGAAGAAAATTATGCTACTCGACTATCTCTTCTGAAATTTTTGCCCGTTTCTCTATATCTTGAGCTTCATGATGTTATGCTTTTCAGTAACATACTCAAGGATCGTTTTGACATAGAATGGCAAAACACATTTGCTTTGTAGCAGATGTTTCCCGCGGTATTCCAAAAACTTTACCCTTTTTATTCCACGTGTTAGACTAGCGAAGTCTAATCACAACTTCTGGGTTCGTTCTGCCCGGTTAGCTAATAGAATGTCTCCATTTGTGAACATCTTCGACTGCAACAATCTGGAAAAAAACTTGCTGAAGTTCTACTGGTTCTACTTCTACAACTTTTACGACAGCAAAAATTCATGTAGTTGGCGTGTCCTGTGTTTGTGCAGCAACTGTTAAGT